CCATCAAATTTAATTGATTTATACCAGCTGAATTAATTTTAGTACTTGAAAATATGATTTTTTTAAATGAGTTAGATTTTCATAAAGGTATTTTTAACCCACAACAACATCTTGCCAAAAAACTTTGCTAGAGCACAGCATTGTGCATCCATTTCTTTTTCTGAAAGCTTATTTGAATACATTGCTTGCTTTTAAATATTACATAAATATTTTGTCATAAAATCAGTTTATATTTCAGTACATATTATATAGAGAAGCAGAGATGGTACACATCCATTAAAGATCATTTTAAAATTTGTGCAAAGTACAGTATATCCTAGAATGCGTGCATGTTACTTTACATTCATTATACATTGAAACAAACACAGAACTTCTTAATTTCCTCATTCTTAACATTTATACATGTACTGAATCTGCAATATAAGCTCTGTAAGTTAGAAACTGTCCTTTTCTCTGCTTTCATCCTTTCTCAAAATATAACAAATATCACTAGGTACAATGTAACACATCATAATGTGAAGCAGACATGAAAATCATTACCTTATTAAAATAATTATAATAATTAAAATAATACATTCACAGAGTTATTTTATACAAACATCCATCACTTTGACACAATGTGGTATTTAAAGGAAAATGTGTTTCAATGTAATATTTAATATACAAAGCTTAATGTTTACTATTTCTTGGAGACAGTGATTTTTTCTTCTTAAATGAGTGAATAATAGCTTAGAAAACAATAAGATTAAGGCGTTGAAGTGGTTCATGTGTGCAAAAGAAAGTGAATTAAAAGTTTAAAGGATCATAACTTAAAGCATTGTGTTAGAAACCTTATCTTGTCAAAAATTAAGTGATTTTAAAAATATATGTTGTTTCTTCAAAGCTTTAATTTAGCAAAAAAAACTTAAGAAGCATTTTCAAATAATCCCCAGTGGATTTCAACATGTAAGAATATGAAAACAAGATATTAAAAGATTGTTAGATTTACAGATTGTGGAACTTAACTGAAAAATCAATTTGCTCCTTACATTTGTAACCTACTTCACCTATTATTTCCAGGTAGTTTTGTCCAATATTTATAACTTCCTTTAGCATATGATTTTGTTACCTATCTTAGGCACAAGAAGCAAAAAGCAGGAAACTTTGTACTTTTGGATACAAGATAAGAAATATAGTAAATTCCAAACGTGTTCACATATACACACATTATATGTTTATCATAATTCTTTAGTAAATACTCTTAACCAAAAACTGTGTAGTTTAAGGATTTGCTTAAAAACAGACATTAAGCATCAGCTTTTTTTAAAAACTAAAATTGGTTATACTCTTCAGGACAAGTTGTGTGAGTGACACAAATACTTATGAAACTAGCCCTGCTGAATGCACAAGCCAGCAAGTTCCCCATAACTTTGGAGAGTGCTTTAATTTTATCAGTATTTTTTTAAGGCCTGCTTTTTGTTGKTTTTTTTTATTGTTTTTTCCTTTTGCATATTGATCCTCACTCTGGTTTACATATAGCAGTGCATAATGCATAATCCATTGCACACTTTTATCCTAGGTACAATGCACACGTTGCACGTGTTGCAAAAAAAAAAARGAAAAAGAATAGCTGCGTTATCTAAAGATCACAATAGTTAATTTGGTGCTTGGTTAACCTTAATCATTGCTAATGTTAGCTCRTAATGCATGCCCATTAATGGCTAGTTTTAATGTTGCATACATAACCTTGCCAMAATTACTTTTAGATGTCTTTGAAGATTAAATTTTGCAATTCCACTATTCTATCAATACAGTGTTTAAATGAGATGTCTGCATCTTTTTAGGGCAAAAATAGTAGAAAGGCAGCAACAAATATTCTGCAATATAAAAAACAAATTTCACTAGAAAATTCCTGCAACTATCTAGCACAAGTTCCTTCAGAAGTTGGAAAAAAATGAGCTAATTTCCTAAGCCTGCCAACAAATGCCTGATAAAGGAGGMCATTGCTATTAGCGTGAGATGCTGCAGAGATGCAGAAATGCAACTTCTCTGTTCCTCRCTTCACCTCTCCTCTTTTGTACTTGTCTCAGACAGAATGCATTTTTAAAGACACTGAACAACTTCTACTATTTCATCTGATGTGATATGCAACTTCTAGCATCAATATTTAAAGTGTATATATATCTTAAACTTCCAGAGATATTATGAAACASAGCACAGAAGCAACATTTTGACAGTGTAGACACAATAAATATTTACAGAGTTTATATGTAAGCCTGTGACTAGCAGCTCCTTTTGGGAACCCTAACTCTCTCAATTTAAGGTCCAAGCATATTTTAGTATGTACCTAATTATACAGATATACTTTGTTTTAGTTAATGAATAGTTTGCTGAAATGTTCCTTTGCCTTTTTTCTTACTGAATAATTTTTTGTCATTAATAGAATAGTGTTGAATTCAGTGGGAATATTCTTCCTGTTAGCAGAGAATTCAGCCCCAGACAGAGAAATAATTTATGTGTTTGTTTTTACTCTAATGTACAGTGAAATTAACATTTCTGGTTGCAAATGTGTAACAAAGCATATTGGGCAAATAAGTGAGGGGAAACTCTTGCTTACCTTTCCCCCAGCAAATAGGATGGAAATTACTGAAAATTACAGGAAATTACTGTCAACAAGCTCAGGCCTTAAAAGTAGTTTTTGGTTGGCTTTTTTTTTTTTTTTTTTTTTTTTTGCAAAGCATCATAATACTGAGCCCCTGGTTTCTCTGTCCAAATTAGCCACATTTCTGGCACGACATCTTCCTGCGCAACTGATCAGCAACTCAAGGATTAGGCACAGTTCACAGCACGTATTTTCACTGCTTTTACATTAACATATCTGTGTGCCACAGCTAGATATGCAAACTCTTGGCAGAGAAGATGTAAGCGAGGAAAACAAGCCTTGAAGCGTGAGCTCCAATTTTTCAAGTTCAGCATTTAAAAGCAAGAATGTCCCATGAACACAAYGAGCAAGTGAAACACAATAACCTGCATCTTGAGGCTTCAAATCTTTCCTACCACTTTTTATAGCACTTCCACCTCCCCAAAGACATCTCCTCATCTGTCTCAGCAGCAGCCACTCTTCTATAACTCCTCTGCAAAGCAAGGTGGAAGTTTTAAGGATGCTCACGAGCGGCAGTGGGTGGTGCCAGAGGCCTTGCTAATATTCTTTTAGTGCTTCCCTTTAATATTCCTAATAGTTCTTGTCCTTAAAATTTCAAAGAGATGACGCTACGCTACAGGTTGAGTTTAAAATCACCTAACACTAAAAAATAAAGTGAAATAAAGAAATAAAAATAAAATCTTCTATCAGTCTTTTTTTTTCTTTCTTTTTTTTTTTAATTAAGTCCATAGAGAAAAAGATAATTTCTGGCTGRCATTTAACACCTTCATCAGTGATCCACAGCAAGTACATCAAAATGGTGTGCAGAGGTGGACCTGCCGGATGACAAGTCTACCTTTCAGAGGAGCCTTGGTAAACCAGAGGAATGGGACTATAGGTATCTGAGGAAGCAAATCCAAAGTCCTGAAGCTTGGATGGGAACTGACCAGGAACACGTTCTGCTTGTAAATTRGAAATCGAATATGAGCCATCAGTGAACCCTTGTAGCAACAAACCACGCACAGGGCTATACAAGCAAAGTCAGACATCAGGTAACAACAGCGACTCGTCCTCTCCACTTGGCAGTTAGGAGGCTGAGTAGCTCTCACACCTGGAACTCAAGGTCCAGCTTTGAACATCCCAGTTCAAGAGAGGAATGATAAATAAGATGGAGCTTCTTCTGYCTGCTGGACTCCTAATAATTCCAACAGAAGGCCACCATTGTGGTTAGGGAACTGGAGCACACTGTGTGGAGAGACACTGAGGGAGCTGCCTTTGTTCACCTTGAAGAAAGCTAAGGGGAGACTTTAACTGCAGTTTTCACTTAGGTATAGACTTGTCTGAGAAGCAAAGAGGAAAAGGACAAAAGGCAACACTCACAAGGAGCACAACTTGAGAGTGATTAGAAAATGTCATAGAAATGYGAAATCATATCTTACTCCAGCTAAGACTAATGGAGAAGCTCCATCAATTCAGATATGGCTCCCATATATGTTAACAGAGCCCTGGAACAGGTTGCCCAGGGAGTCTGTGGAGTCTCTTTCTCTGGAGATCTTTCAAACCCACCTGGATGTCACCCTGTGCCACATGCTCTGGGTGTCCCTGATGGAGCAGGGGGTTGGACTAGATGATTTCTGGAGGTCTCTTTCAACCCCAACCATCCTGTGATTCTGTGATACCAGGTCCTGAAAGGTTGTTAACACATATGAATGTGTGATCTCCTGCTGTTATTTAGAGGTTTACCAATAAAAGAAATACAAGGAACTGACCAAAAAAAAAAAAAAAAAAAAAAAAGCCAAACCAAAAAAAAAAAGCTTCTCATGTTATTCAAGAATTTACAAAATTGAACCACATATACTGATATACTGTACATTGATTTAAATGCATTCATTTTATTTTTTTTCCAATTTAGACCTACAAAATATCAAATCCCTCTTAGAATTTGATATGCCATGCTATTTTTAAACAATTAAATGTGGAATTTCTTTATGAACCAGAATAGTATAAAGGATATATACTGCACATTTAAAATTACATCTTTGTCATGAAATCTACAAGTAAACAAAACATGTACATATACTCACACATGTACGCAACACTTAAAAAAATCTTCCCTCAGAGAGATAAAAATCTTCATTTGATACAACTACATACTTAAATATCATACACGAAGTTTTGTGTATGCAGTTAAGCAAAGCATAATAAGGGGAAAAAAGTCCATGAGTGCAGAGTATGTTACATTAAAAAGGCAGCTAAATACATTTAAAAAAAAAAAAAAAAAAGCATTTCTTCTCTGAAGCAACTGCCTTAACTTAGACACAAGTTATTTCAATGCAGAATCAGTGCTCATGTTTGTTTTAAGAAAAATGTCAAAATCTCAGGAGAGAACAAAAGTTTTACATTTGATTTGATACCTGACATTCTCCCTGAAATCACAGCACTACACAATATTTGTTACCTTTAAGACAGAAGATTTAGCTATCTCTATACTCTTATGGAATAATATATCAGAAAATTCAGTTCAGAACTGGACAACTACTTGTCCATATTACTGCATCTTTCTTCATAGACACAAATGGTGTGCATTGTATTTGAGTGTTTTTTCACTTATGCTTAACGAATACAGATGTATCACCAGCATTTTCTTGGAAATATCTTTCCAAGAGCTTAACTTCATAAAGACATCTAAGATACAAAGGGTCAACCCAGTTACCTTTCATAYTAGTTTTACAAGCATTTGCTACAAACACAATTTCAATATTAAACACCAATCATCAAGGTAAAGCTGAAGATAATGCTCATTGTGCTTTGTTTCCTAGAAGTCTAGTTCACACAGAAGAAAACACCACGTAMAGCACTTTTTAAAGTTCACACATGTGTACAGTTGGTAGACGGTGGTGTGTCTATCCGACTTTTATTTTCCTTAGCGTCATTCAGAGGTGACTCATTACCTATCTGGCATTTGAAGACTTGTTTATAAGCCTTCCTAAAATTTTCGGAGAGGAACGCATATATAATCGGGTTCACGGAAGAATTGCTGTAAGCCAGGCAGTGTGCAGTTACTCTGAAGAGGAATGAGGCCTGAGTCAGTGGGAATACTCCAAATTCAGCCCAGAGATGAATGACATGATGTGGCAGCCAGGATATGCCAAAAACCACTACCACCACCAACACAGTCTGTGCTGTCTGAGACAGGGAAAGAAAACAAAACACAGATAAGCACAGATAAGCACTTGGAGAACCAGAACTGTTTCAAAATCATTATTTGTAAAAGCCAAAAATACTGAAAGAGAACACACTTTAGCATGCTTCCTAATGATTTTGCTTCCTGCACTTTATTTTGTATAGAGAACTACTTCAAAAATGACGTAAGCCCTGAAATTCCATAGTAAACAGGAAATTCATACTTTTGCTCAGAAGAAAGGTGCGGCATTTTTGATTCGCTGCACAATATCCTAGCTTTTCGTGAGGTGGACATAAGCTTGACGCAATAAAATGACAATATGCGTCTTCAGACTAATCCGAATCAAAGGAGCTGTATTTTAATATGGTGCACAAAGATATCTGACTAGAATTTAAAGAGGGCTCTTTTTATAAATAAAGGTAGTTCAGAAAGGTAACTCTCAGAAGGCTGCCCAGGGAGGTTATGGAGTCTCCTTCTCCGGAAATCTTCCAACCCCGCCTGGATGTCACCCTGTGCGCCGTGCTCTGGGTGTCCCTGCTGGAGCAGAGGGGTTGGACTAGATGATCTCTAGAGGTCCCTTCCAACCTCAACCATCCCGTGGTTCTGTGATTCTGTGAATGCTTTTTGAGTATCTCCAAAGAAGGAGACTCCACAGCCTCTCTGGGCAGCCTGTTTCAGTGACAGATTCCTGCAACAGGCTGCCCAGAGAGTTTGTGGAGCCTCCTTCTTTGGAGATCTTCCAGTCTTTCTTGAATGCAACCCTGTGCCACGTGCTTTAGGTGTCCCTGCTTGAGCAGGGGGAAGTTGGACTAGATGATCTCTAGAGGTCCCTTCCAACCTCAGCTATTCTGTGATTCATTCACTGAAAGACCTTAATGCAGTCAAACTGATTTTGATCTAATGTCTAACAAAGCAGCAGAGGCTTTTTTGAAAAGTCTCTCTATTAAGCAATAAATTTCTGTGATGGAGTGATACGACAACATTCTGTGATGCAATCTGGAGAAAACGACAGAAGTTAGGAGCTTGAAGTTTTTGGTGATTGTATGTTGCTTTTGACAATCTGGAAAATGAAGCTGGCCAAACACTGAGTTTAGAAAAGTGTAACATAAATAGTAAACTTCCTAAATGCACACCTCCTGACTCCATTCTTATTATTTTCACAAGAAAGGGTCATTAATTTCATTAAACATATAATGACAACTAGAATATTAGTATAGAATTTTCAGGTTCTGTACACATTTCTCCAGGACATAATAGTCAAATTATCAATGTTTTCTTTAGCTTTCATTTACTTCTTCAGAAAAAGCAGTTAGTGCTTTTGCAATTACTAAATAAATTATTCTCTAACAGGCACCTCTTTCAATTAAATCACTCCACTAATATAACCCTAACACTAATTCCAAGCACATTATGTTATGAATTATTAAAATTACTATATTAACACTTCACAAAGTTGATTTTTCTGATAACTTAGTCCTTTCTCCATTTTAACTCATAAAATTACCTCCCAAATTAACTCATAGAAGTGACCCATGGAGTGATATCAATTTCAGCACACAGAATGCCTAGACACTTCACTTCTCTGTTGAATCTGGTCTATACTTACTGAATTGATTAATGTCTGGTGTCATTTAAGCTGACCTTTCTAATCTAATAGGAGCTAACTTATAGAAAAAAAGAGTTTAATTACTATGCAAATAGGAMAAATAATTGATGAAAAATACTGTTGCTAGTTTGCTGAATTTCACAACAGAAACCAACAGACATTACACCTATTGTAAATATAATTTGTTTAGTCTAAAAATGTCTGCATAAACATCTGTTCAGCCCTATTGAGTTTAGGTTAGTACTAAATAACAAGTTATAGAAGAAGAAATATTTTCTGTTTCAGTTCTAACAATGAAAATGCATGCAAACAAAAAAGTAAAAGTACTACTGAAAGTAGTTCCTTCTCTGATGATTTCTAAGTATTAATACTCCAATTGAAAAGAAATTATCATAGTATTGTTACTTCATAAGAAACATATTACCTCAATTTTTTCAAAATTTTAAAAATTACAGCTGGAAAATCACTGATTTTCAATAGAATGTATAGGTGCAACTGAAAGCTGAGGATGACCATGTGTCTTTTATAACTATTATGCTTACAGTATATCATACCTAAAGAATAAGTAATATGCATAATGGACTGAAAATCCTGGCAACACTTGTTTTTAATCCACTATTTCTCCTGAGCCTCATTTCAGGGCTTACCTTCATATCATCAGCAGCACTATAACTTGCAACCAAGGTAACAATAAAGAGCAAATCTTATTTACCTAATGAGATCTTGCTTAGGGTTTCTTATTAGCAAGTAAAAAACAAATGAAACTAAATTTCAGCAGTTATGACTTTTACACTTTTTTGTGTGTGTGAGAAAATAGCAGAAAAGAAATAACATTTAAATAAGTTTCTATTTTCCTTTTTTTTTTCAATCATATTACAAATTATTTTTAAGACTCTATTGTTGAAATTTTTACACAGTTTTGAATAAAGTTAAAAAAGAATCAGGCCTGGAATACAGAACAAATAATGTATTCTTAGCACAGCAATGGAAGAAGAAAAATACAAAAACAGAAAACAAACGCTAGTGAAAACAAAGTTGCTTTAAAAAATGTAAGTTAGGATCTTAGGATCAGAAACTTTTTAAGTGAAAAATCTTTTATGTTTCTTTCTGTTTGTTGTTTTGAATTACGGGGCACCCCAGCAGTCTTGAACATAAGTGTAATGCTTTCCTTTGCAATATGCAAACTAATTCATAAGCCGGATCTGGCCTTTATTTCCAATTTCAATATTTAGCACATAGAGAAATGCAAAGGTATTTCCAATTTGACCATAGCTTACCTGAGAGAACTGATGGAAATATATAGACCACCCTTGAGAACTACACTTTTGCTAAGATTAATTGTGCATATGTTAAGCATTCTGCTGAACCAGGATCATACTGCTTTTAATTCTCAGAATTAAATCTTTTTCCCCTCAAAAATAGAGAAGGCATAAATGATAGATATTCACTGATGAGCCCATGTATCGTTTGCATTGCAGAGAGTTTGCATGACCATATGGTAATAGTGATCAGATCAAATGAGCAAGAGCCTTAAGGTTCTTTCTGACTCTGTGTTCATAAACTGAGAAGTTAGTCAAATGATTAATGTGGTTAAATCTCCTGAAAAATCGGAATCCTATTATATCATCTGACAAATTCACTATATAAACACATTTCAAATAGTATTCTAAATTGCAAAGCTAATATGCTTTAAAGACCTTTCACAATTCTGCTTGCATCTAAGGCATAAGTCTTGAACATGAGAGAATAAAAAAGATTTTACGGAAAATAGAAAGGAAGTGAAAGAACTACAGAATCAGAAAGTTTCTTATTAGACTCCTCATCACAAAGTACATTACCCCTTATTTGGAAATCACATCATATAAGCTAGAAATTCTTCATAAACCATTTAAATTTAAAAAAAAAGTATAAATTTCACAAGGAAAAATGGTGCTGTGGCAAAAGAAACATTTATTTTAGGCAGTCTCACAATGTCTAAATTTCAGATGCTCCCAAGTCCAAAAAATATGGCCTTTGAGTAATGACTTGACCCATTGTGATGGAAAATTGAGATTAGAAAAGATCTCAATTTTTGCTAAGTTCAGGGAGACACAGAGTATATCATTAAATACATGATTTCAGATCTTTCTCTTCTTTATGTCTTTAGAAACAAATAATATAGTACCAAATTAGCATACCCATAGAACTAATATATAAACAAATAGGAATTGGTAATGAAAGTGATCTACCTTTTTCTTGGATGCTTCTGACTTCTTTGACATGTTTCTCAACTTTTTATGCAGATGATTAAGAACCTGAAAAGATTAATTTGCATCTTGTATTTCATAATTTTCTGGATTTCATAAAACATATTTTAGAATATGTCTCTGGCACTACATGAGTTTCTTACAAACACCAATGATCCAATTTACACATATCAGAAGTGCGTGGCATCAGATCCAATGGAGTTACATATGCGAATCTACATGAATTTACAGATCTGGTGCACACCACCACTGAATTTTTATATAAAAATAGAGCTGCACCACATTACAACACATATCACAGTGAACAAAGCAATAAGTTGAAACCTAGACTGCAATGAGAATTATCAATCTTTTTTTTTTTTTTGATAAAGATATCAATGGTCTTAATTTAGGTTGATCTTTACTGCATGTAACATAAAAAGTGTATGTTTTGAGTCAGAGCTTTTCTGAGCCACCTGCATATTTGCTCTCTTCAGATGGATGGTTGGTTAAAATAATATGGCTGTTATTTGATCTTCAGAAATAAGTTTGAACTTTTAAAAATAATTTATACTATGATATATTTCACACAGGTATCACCTTTATCAACAGTTTGAAGTTACTAGTGCACTTCGTGGGAGGTTTTTTGTTTGTTTTTAAAATATAGCAAAATTATTTATCATCCAACAATAGAGTACAAATTTTAATGTAAACTTAAGATTTTAGATAGTGTATGTCAGGAACACGCTCTTTTTTTTATCTGCASCTATCATTAACTGAATTTAATATACAAATGATCAGACTTGCCAAAGGGGTGGCGAATATGTTCTTCAGCTGAATATGTTTAACAAGTTGTAAACCATCCAGTATCAAAAACTGAGACATTTAATTAAACTCAGAAGTTTAATTAAAATGTGGCAAAAGGAAATGTTTATATATAATGTAGAGTCAGATTACAGAGCTCAGGGTTCCATGATGACAATGTTAGTCACACTTTACATAACTAAAAAACGAATTGAGAACAGTTAATAAATATGAGCACCCAGGATTAAAGCAAACATGCAATTAAAGATTTCTGATAGAATATAACACTGTATTTGAGGCTGAGAGGGAGACTTAATGAGGTGGGGAAGAAAGTAGAAATTCCCTTTCATATTTCAGGATTTTTTCTCTGCTTTCTTTTAAATGCTGGCTATCCACTATCAGGACAGGATACTGGATAAGACAACCTACTGATTTGATCCCACATGGCTTTTATAACTCTTAGAAACATATATAACATATATTTTAAAATAGGACAGCATTTGTGAATGATTGTGGCTCACCAGTGGATTCAGTTTTTAAGTGACTACTCTTATCTATCAGGGAATCATAAATAAAAGCAAATAACTTACTTCTGACATAGTTTGATTTGAAATGTAATTGATGTCTGTGTGTTTGTGTAGATGTAAGAGTCAGACCTGCATAAATAATACCACTTTGTATTCTGAAGCAGTAGCCAGGTACTACCAAGCAAACCTGAATACAATTTCTCTGAGAAGAGACCCTTCCCCCTTGTCCATGAGGGTACAGACCATAAGAAAAGGCCAGAACAGGCCCCAAGATCTAGCAGAGGACAATGGACATGATCCTCTGGTACTGATGCTCTTCATTCTCCTGCTGTCACCATGTCAGTTCAGTGACAGATGAATTGAAGGGATCAGTAAAAATGAATTAAAAAAAAAAGGGGGGGAGAAAAAGAAAAAGCATGGGAAAAAGATGGTGAAAATTTTTTCCCATTACTGTTGCTTCACCTAACATGCATAATCCTTCCTCACATAACTTAAACAGAAAGGCTTTTTCTATTGAACTTCTCCAAAGTCCTGTCTCCTGACATATTCTCAACTGTTCTGTATTTTTATTGAGTCCAATACTAAAGTTGGATAAAAATTATCCCAAAAGTCAAAACTAAAAAAATCTTTTTTTAAAGATTCCTTTATTGTTGTTCTGAAACTCCATTGCATGCTTGCATGACATTTCTCTCTCTCTTTCTCTCTCTCTCCAGTCCAAAGACAGATACAGTCAGATACAGTAGTCAAAGCAGTTATTTTGGATATTTTGTAGTGTTGTGAAGATTTGGATGACAATCTTCCAATGAATCCTTCTCAACTTTTCCTCTTTTGGGGTATATGCATATTTCATAAAATAAATATATGCTGCCTCTACAGCAAAAACATTCTAGCTATGCATGGTAGCGTACCAGATGGTACACAAACCAGCAGCATGAAACATAGGCAGAATTTAATTATCTATCAACAGCAGTGGGAGCAGTGGWACTCAAGAGATCAGCGGAAAAGCTGTGGAGTCCTATTAAGGGTTATGTTTGTACACAAATGCTACAAGGGCGATCAAAGACCCCTCTGCTAACAGCCCTGGTTGAATTGCTTCTCTAGGGCAATGAATAATGTAATGTTTCTTCAGTAGCGGTTGTCACTTCACCTGAATGAATAATAATTCTCTATTTCTATATGTGCCACTTCTTCTTCTATCAGACTGCTCACCAAAGGAAYATGTAACTCACACAATGAAATACTCACTTTGCCAAGATATAAGTACACAATCTTTCCTAATAAGATGTTATATCATGAAAGTACTTGGCTCTGTGGGAAAATTAACTCTTTGCATGAAGCTTTACTAATAATGCCTTTTGTATACGTGTTGATGAGAGATTGTATCTGGCTCTCAGAAGGAATAGCTTTTCTTTTTTTCTGGAGATGCAGATGGGATTCTGCAGAAGAAGAGTTAAGTTCTTGGGAAAAAGGATGTAAGAAAAGTGGTGTGATCAAAGAAATAAAAGGAGTTGCATGGTGGACAGCACTATCAAAACTATCTCTGGTCACATATTGTAGTATTTGGATTTTGTCTACAAGGAGACGGTTATCTTTTTGTGGGTGTGTTGCAATTAGTTGCTGGGGCCCTCCTTCAGATGGTTTGAGAATTACAAATAGGCCCGATGACAAAACAGGATTAAAAGGGGAATTTTCATTAAGAAAAAAAAATCTTAAAGCACCTGTGTCTTATTCATGCTTGAAGAGTCTGTAATTATATCTATTCTCAATCAAAGAATGTAAATGATTGAAATCTGTACCGTTGAAAACCTGTTAATCTGTTAATACTGTTAATAGTGTTGAAAGCTGTTTCTGTTGAAAACTCTTAATCATTCCACTCACTACACCTTTGTTACTCCTTAATTTACCCATTTCAAATTACATATCAGGAAAGCCTGCCCAAGATGACAGGAATGAACCACCTGTTTAAYGAAACCATAATGTGGTCATTACATTCTGGACTGTATTTTATAATATGAACCTGATTTCAAGTGCCGCTGCCTGAAATCCATTTGTCAAAGTAATACTGTTACTTCTATTGTCACAACAGATGTTTCACCCTCTTCCATTTAATAGTGTCTCTAATGTGTCATAGTCTTTTTCTTTTCAAGGTAGATGAGCACTCTCTATTAAAATTTTCCCTCACATTAAGATAAAATCTTAAGTGAAGAACCATATAAGCTTGTAGTTTATGGTGAGGCTCCAGCTTTTTATGACRTATTATTAAACAACTCTATAAATCATATGTTACTTTCCTGAATTCATAATGTTAAGAATGACAGGTAGTAATGGAAGCAAATTTTCTTATTATTTCTTAAAGTTAAAAAAGTGGTGCAGGGAGGAAAATGAAGGTTTTAACATTAGACGTTTATGAAGGGAAACTATCTTAATCATATAACGATTCCCAAGATTTTCAAAGTTTGCTAATGACTTTAAGTGCCCAGCCTACAGGTCTGAAACAGGTTGGTCATTCAAGGAGTGAAGCCTCATAGCTGGGAACTCAAAAGAAGACACACCCCTAATCAGCTATTATCTTGCAGTATCCTGGCATATAACTGTTAGAAGCTCATTGTGAATTTTTTATCACTTTGGCCTTTCAAATGGATTACTGAACCAATGTTACAGCAGTGTTGCAAATCACACACATACAAAAGAATTAAAATATATATATATTGAATATCATGACAAGWCATTTCAACCTGTCTTTTGTATGAGGTGCTGTGAGTAACTCAATAATCACTGCTCCTCTGGCTAGAGAAGTAATCTTCTTTAAAGAGCTGTCTGTGAGCCCTCGAGCCAATGAAACATGTTTTCTTACAGATCTGTTTTCTTGATTATGTTTCCAAAATGAAGTTTCTCCTACACCATCAGGAAATATGTACAGTGGTTTTTCTGTGTGGATTGCCTGATGCTTAGTAACACTTGAGGGCAAACTGATTCTCCTTAAAGAAAAAATATGGATAGTGTCTTTTCACAAAACTAGGAAAAAAACATTCCTTCTGACATCTCCATTGCTACATCAAATGTGGTTGAAACTCACCTATAATATTTGTGGTAAAGAAAAGAGGATAGCTGTACACACCTGATACAGAACATCATTTCACAACTCTCTGCCTTAAAAATGCATCACATGAGACAGCCAGCTCTGATTTTGTGGGAGGACACTTACGACTACTTCAGGATTTCCCTAATTTATAACACTATTGTTGCCTCCTGCAGAGAGATCCTAGTAAAATATGAATCTAAATAATTCATTATTCATATCAGAGAGAGATATAATTTATTTAAACTAAGAGAGAGAAAAGGAACTCAACTCCTTGGAAAAAAAAAAAAAAAAGAGAGACTTTCAGAACTAAAAGTTCGATTTCATTTTGTGGAAAAAAAGAACTGCCATTAAAAAGTCTGGAAATGGCGATACATTCAAATAGAGAACTGCATCTCTCCTATCTCTCCTTTGTCTAAATCGACTTCATCAGAAGATTATGTAAYTTAGCAGACTCAGAGTTCATGAAAATCAGTCAAGTCCCTAAGAACCTAATGCATTTACCTTTACACTTCTGCAGCTCTTACACAGCCTGTGTATGCACTGAGCAGTCAAAATTATCTAGCATATTTCACASTATTTTAGCAATAACCATAAAAGCTCACAATGATCAGCTTTGATTGAAACCTCTGATAGAAGTGATGGCTTTGACAAATTCAAAAGTCCAACTTTGATTTTCAACTATTATCATCCTTGATTTCTCCCTAACTCTGCCCAATGTGCTAAAATATTGCAGTTGAAGATTTGACAGTGGGTCTTAATGAGGGCAGGAATGAACCTTCATGCTGCAACATATGAGTACATTATAGACCCTCTTACAAGGACATTTTCAGTTTTATTGACCTGCAGGAGATATCTCTTAGAACTCATCCTGTTAGGCTGGATCCTCCGGCTTAATGCCATGGCAGGCAGGATCACACACACAAACCAAGCACGGGTGAGATCCTACTATTGCAGCAAATTAGGACTGATTTTTTTAGTGCGATTTATATTGACCTTGATCTTATTAACTTGTTTTGGACATGTCCTTCACAGTTGGGATTTTTGTTAAATTACACATTAAGACAGACACATTACACCTTAAGAAATATGTTAAGAAAACATCCGTTTTTCTATGAATGCACTGCAAGAACATGGTGTGTTCTGGTTAGTAAGCAGAGTAGCTTATATTTTGTTTAAGCAAACATTTGCTTATTTGAATAAATCTTTACTTTTTCTATAGGGCAAGATCATCCTATAAAACAGGACAGTCATAATTTTGAAAGACTTGTTTTTAGTGTTGTATATCCACATTTAAAAGGCTCTGAAAATGAAGATGTTTTAGCTCTTAAAATATAAACAGAAATTCTTAATATTTGACAAGCCTTCCCTGCTTGTCACATTCAAGAGCAGAAAAAAAATATATTTTTTTTAATTTGAGAACTGACTTTTTAACACRTAAGCAGTCCTTACATGCAAGAGCAGACCTTTCATCTTAAATGTTGATTACTTCCCTGACTACAGATAAATCCTGCTACTAGAGGGCTGGTACAGGCGCAGTCCAGGAGGGCTTGTAAACAGCTTGGCAAACAGCAATCTGTAACCTACACCTGATTAACAGCAAAGGGTGGGAACTGCACCAGAGGCTGCAATTAMCAGCAACAGAGAATGTGACTGTCTCTCGCTGGAGCAGAAAAGTCCTTATGGAGCTGCATTTGGGCACTCTTACTGCTTTTTCCTGCCTGATTCATCGCTTCCTACCACTACCTGYCCTTGCTGAATGCAGACCTAAATCTGTGATCTGCTTCACCTGGGACAAGGTGAGGGGCATCTCACAGACATTGGGCAGCACCGTGTGCTAAGGGTTAGTGCAAATTGATGGGTTTGTACTGTATTTTTTTTTTAATTGAGTTGCATTTGAAAGAATCGCAACACTTTGCCTGAAGCCTGAACAACTTGTTGCTTGGCTGCACTTTACTTGAGTTTAACTCCTTACGYGCAAAGCAAGAAAACTGAAGTTGTGTTCACAAAGGAAGCAGCAGGATCGCAGGGCTTCTTAACGCTCTGAGCAAGGGAAATCTKGCAGAGGCTACGGCAGCGTTCGCCTGCACAGCCCTTCTGCCCTCACCTTTCTGTGCCCTGCAACACACATGTGCCCCAACCATCCCCTCCGCTGTAAAGCTGCTGCTCTCATAAACTAAACTCCCCTTGTCCTGCTGCATCACATCACTGTTGCCATCTGACAGCACCCTGTCTCTCCACACCCCCAGAGATGTCCCTACACCCACAACAGGCTCCATGGACGCCCACAACTACAGCCCCACACCACTACCCTTACCCGCTCACCCCACCTTGGCGTAGCAGAAGGAGATGAGCAGCAGCGGGAGCAGGTAGCCGAAGACAAAGGTGCAAACCACGTAGACCTTCTTGTGGCGCGGGTTGGGCCACTGGTCCCAGCAGAAGGTCTGGTTGCTGGCATCGCGGTGGAAGAGGCGCTGGTGGTGCGCCACGGGCGAGGCCATGGCGAAGGAGAGCGCCCAGATGAGCCCCACGCCGAGCAGCGCGTTGCGGGAGACGCGCAAGGCCGAGGAGCGCCGCGAGTGCACAATGGCCACGTAGCGGTCCACGGACATGGCGGAGAGCGTGAAGATGCTCACTAGCATGGACACGGTGAAGAAGTAGTGGATGAACTTGCAGATGAAGGCACCCAGCACCCAGGTGGGCAGTACGTAGACCGTGGACTGGAAGGGGATGCAGAAGAGCAGGTAGGCCAGGTCGGCGATGCTCAGGTTGAGGATGAAGATGTTGGTGGTGCTGCGAGGCTTGCCCGGCTTGCTCCGTGCCAGCACCGTGATCACCAGCGAGTTGCCCAGCACCCCGAGGGCGAATATCAAGCCAAAGACAATCAAAGTGATGAAGTTTTCGATGCCGATGCCAAAGAGGGGCTTGCCCTCCGCCTCGGGCGGCGCGGAGAGGTTGAACTCGCCGGTGCCCGAGCGGTTGAGGAGCTCCGTGGGCACTTCCCGCAGCTCCATGCCAAAGTTTGTGCAGGAGGAAGCGGGCGCGCCGCTCCCGCGCAGCGGCCGCCCACCCCTCCGCGCGGCTCCGCGCGGC